GAGTGCGAGCATATCTTGCAATTATTTTATCTATCCATGAGCTACAAAAATATTGCAACTCAAACAAACTAGATTGACCAACTGACGGACTGAGTGCCTGACTGTCAGCTGCTTGTCACGCAGCTCGCCAGCTCGCTGGCTCGTTTATCATGCAGTAAAAAATATAAAAATATATACTTTTAATTAATAAGCAACCAGAGATGCCAAAGATAAAGCTAACGAGTTATTTAAGCCGTTTGCCAATTTGTTCGCATTTTGTCAGGCCAAGACGAGCTGCAAGATTTATTAATTATACAAAAAAAGCTTGTACTCGTATACTACTTGTATATATACTGCATATGTATGTACATCGGTACACGGCATGTGCATATTCAGGTACAGCTGCTATGTAGAGCACATGCAACAGCTTCGTTTGCCCTTGCAGCTGCCACAGAAGCCGCACAAGCAAATGCGTCAGCTGCTGTGGCAAGCTCGATAGTTTCCCCCCAAATGTTACGAGTTGGTGGGAAAGCCAAAATGTTCAAGTAAAAAGTTTTTGATTAATTTGTAGTAATTACTTTTTATTCACAATTTAATTATTGTATTTAATAAGATTATTTATAAGCAGCCATGAAAAGCTCAAAGCTACTAAAAAGTAGTTTCTGAGCAGTTTGCTTTAGAAAGAGCTAAACTAAATAGCCATAAGCGTTTGAATTGCCAATTGACGTTTATTTGTAAAAGGAAACCATGGACTGCCTTTTTGGAAGAAATAAATTTAAACGATTAGCTCAGTTAGCTGAGAAAATAATGCTTTTTTGCAAGGAAAAGCGCGCTTGCCGGTTGACTATGTTTGGCATAATTGAGTTAGTTTTTTCCCCCTGTTCATCTCTAATGAAATTTTCTGGCTCATAGAAGTAGAAAATTACCAAACAGGATGGCAAAAATCAAGGAGTCGAACACTGATCGAGGGTGCTGATTAGGCAATGGTAACTGTATTTGCCTCAAACACTTACACGCTAGGTAATAGAAATAAAAATAAATAAAATTAATAATTGACAAGTTCAACCTAAAAAAAAACTAAATTTTGTAACTAAATTAAATTAAGTTGAATTCAATTAGAAATACATATGTAGTGCCTAGCGCAATAACTTAAAAGTAATCTTGTATTTGTAACGATAGAATAAATTGATAAAATAAATAAATAAGGCTCTGGTATCGTATACACGACCACCAGGGTCTGGAAACAGCGGTCACACCTAAAGCTAATGTCGAAATTTAGGCAAAAGATGAGGAAGATACTGAGATGGGGCGAGTTTCTAGAAGTACGCCGAGGAAAAGCTTCTGCTCTCCACAGTCCTGGAGTATTGCAGTTTTTCTCAAAATAATTTAGGAAAGGCCTTAGTGCTAATTCTGCTCTACAAATTAGAGCTCGATTCAGGTTTGCTATCTAAAATTCTTGCTCCTATAGTTGGCCATTTGCCTTCCAATTGAACTTTTCGAACCGTTCGCCAAATTAATAGCGCATGTGTGCCGCTCATAGAGACATCAACAAAATCAAAAGCCCATCAATCAAATTGTCCCATCAAAAACTCAAATTATAGCAATAGGGTTTGCTGTTGTTGTTGTTGTTGTTGCTGTTGATCATCATCATCATCATCATCGTATCATCATCAGCGAGCTTGTTGTTAATTGCCAAATATGTAAATCGTTGGAACAATGTGCGCGTCAAATGGAATCAATTTAAAACAATTAATTGCCCCACACTTGACTCCTCGAAATATTTGACACGAATGTAACCTTTTCAACTCGCTGACTGCACACAATGCTTGTCAAACTGTGTCGTGTTTGTCGTTCACACGAATTTCACTTTTCTTCTGGAGCGAGCGCGTCTCAAATTACTTGGCACAGCTGCCGACAGCTGGCCAGTCATAAATAAACATGAAAAACGCCTTAAATGCTGCCACAGCGATGGCTAAGCCTAAAAACTGCTTGAAAATCGCGCCAAATGAATAAAAAAAACAAAACAAAACGCGTGGAGTGCGCGAAAAACAAAAAACGACGACAACGACAAGCAGCAAACGGCATTAATGGCAACTTTATTTGTTTTGAAAGTTGACATTGATTGGACCCGCAATTGGCGACGGTGTTGCCAGTGGTTGTTGTTGTTGTTGTTGCTGTGTGGTTGGGGTCGTGCTACATGGGGCTTTAATGGGCTGCTTATGTTCGACGTTGTCGCAAAAAATGCCTGAGTGACAGCCTTGTGTGCGAGTGTGTGTAAGCGATATGCCATTATGTTTAACAGAAGCATATCAAGTATGTGAAGATATATTATCGACAGGCACTGTGAAACATACGAAATATTTTATGCTACAAACATGCTTTTATTTGTTGAAGATCTAATTTAAAATTAGTTAAATTTGTTAGTCTCTCGCAAGTAATCAGCAATTTGATAAGTTCTTAGCATGATTTTCTAAAATGTTGCTTACAATTAGAATTTAAATGCTTTCCGTCCAGTACTCACTTACATTTCATTAATATGCTATCGATAGCGATAAATTATTCATCGATAATTTCTTGTATTTTGTATAACGCTATGTCCTAAAAGTTTGCTGCCTATTTATTTATATATTCGTACTATTACTTTAACGAACTGTATATATTTGACCGATTTATCGTTTAAAACGCTTCCAATCAGTGAATCAGTGAATATTTATTAACATACCATCGATATTAATCAGTTAGAAGAAATATCCTAAATAAATTCCATTACTTTTTCTACGTTTTGTTAGTTCTTTAGCGATATCTTCTCAACAAACTTATCATATCTAATGCTTTAAGATTTAAAATATGCCTTGTAAGTCAAAAGTAATATGAGATTAGGAATTAATATTTCTAATACTTTAGATATTTAGTTTACTTAAAAATTATTTATTATGTTTCGACTTTTATGGTATTATTATTATTTATGATATTCGTTGTAAAACAGCATATTTATAAACTTAGTTTCATTATTTTATTTATAATTTTATTTTATTTACTATCGGTAACACATAAATAACAGTCTACCGATTAAATAAAAATACAGCTAAACTAGAGTTGACTAACATTAGCTGGGAAAATACTGCTATACACGTATACTTGTATAATGCCGTTTACCTACTGCCCTACATAGGCGTCATGAGAAGCGCGGAGAAGGGCTTACTCGAGCCAGGTCTACAGCTGTTGCTTCAACAAATTTAAAGTTGTTTTCCCAAGCCGAGTGATATTTCAATTACTGCTCGTAGTTGGTTGAATCAGGTCATCGGTTTTGGACATGAACAGGCAAAGTTGTTGGCTCTGTTACAGTTGTTATTGAGGTTGAGGTAGCGAAGGAGTTGGGCGCCAATTCTTGCAATGCTCGTGGGATGGGATTAACGACAACAGACAACAACAAACAACAAAATGTGCAACTCGAACTGTAATCGCACATTCGAGTACATATGTATGTATATACATACTATATATACTTGTATGTACATCCGCATCCGCCGTGAATTTAATATATGTATGTATGCGGCCTTTGTCTGCTGCTCCAAGACTTTTGTTCATTTATTTAATATGCCGGTGAGTTGGCCTAAAGGCAAGCAAACCGAGTCGGACAAATGGAGTCGTATGGATGGAGTGGACGAGAGGACGGACCGGACTAGACTGAGACACAGCTCATGCAAGTTTTATTAAATCAATCAGTGGGCCTGTCATGTACGCCATATAACGGCGTCTGACAGTTGCAACAAAGCGAACCACCATGCACCATGGGCCTGAACAGAGCACAGCTTACTAAGCCTAAGTAGAGTATTATACGAAGTTTTTATAATTGAAAGAATAGGTCTTCCAAGAGTTTATCTTAAGCTTGAATTTCTCCCCCCTATTTCTCTCTAGTTTACTGGCTTGCTGGTATTTTAGTTCCACAGTAATTGGGAACAAATTGTTTAATACTCAAAAAGATTTGTTAAGTTCAGGAATTTACTTTAAAAAGTCTTATTAAATTGTTTTAAAATAAATTAATTGCTATATTGTTCCCTCATTTTTCTTCGAAATAACAAACTTTCTGCTAACATCAATTTTAAATTAAATGAATTGGATTCGGTTCCGCTTTCTATAAATTACTACCCAATAGATATAATTTTGGTTGCAAAATAAATCTAAAACTAAGCATTCGTCTTACTTTTCAAAGAATATTGGTACAAGATAAGAAAAGCAATATAACATCTTTTTATAAAGATATATTGATATTGAACTAACATCTCGTAAGCCTAAATAACCTAACATTATAGTAATGTTTTACGATCCTGATTGAGTTTTCTCACAATGGATGGATTTCAGTCAACCGCTTTCTACAGAATGGTATAATACAGAATTAGATCTGTGGTTATCGGAGGGATACAAAATCTAAAAAGGTTGATTTGTTTCTATCTTGGGCTGCGGTCAGACATGCAAATAGTTTGCACAGAATTCTCATCTTCCCTCTTTAAAAACTAATTCCCATAAAAACATATTTTGATATACTTGTATGTATAATTCTTATTGGTTTTATCTAGAATATACAAGTATGTAGCACATATTGTATTTATGACATGTTTGTAAAGTTCGACAAATTTGTGTGCAAATGATTTGCGCGTCCTGACATACTATTATTAAACATAAATACTTATTTTTAAGACTTTTTAATTCGACTTCTAGGAGCTAATCTGACAAATGAGTATTTGAGTTATTTTAAAGCAATAGTATATCTAATGCAACCCATAGTGCAGTGGCCATTTGGCAACATAGAACTGGCCATTGGCAACTGGTAGCTGGCCTCTGGCATAGCTTTCCTTATGCGACATGGTGTGTGGCTTCAGTTTGCATTTGTAATGATGCCACAGATAAGCAGACGGGAGGCAGAGATGGAGAGCCTTAATTGTCAAGGAATGCGAATGCGAATGCGAACATGACAAACGCATGCCACATATAGCAGGACTTATAGAAAGACTGATCTTTACCTGTTCCTCCATTGGACTGGTGTCCAGTTGATGCTGCTGCGCCAGGCACAGTCCTCCGCTCATGGGTGGACACGACTGCCGCTTAAAGTCTCGGCGTATGGCCAACTCGTACCAGGGTATGAGTGGCTTACTCCTCAGCGTTGTCTGACAGCCGATCTTGAAGTCCAGGGGATCCATGTATTCGGGGGCCATGCGATTCAGATCGGAGACGGCCGCCTCGGCCGAGGCATATATGTTGCCAGCAGACCGATTATTTGGATGCCAGGTGGACTGCATGTAGTAGCCGTTGTGCGGCATGTCCAGCAACGAACCCATTGGCACATCGAGACTGCGATGCAGGCCAGCTCCCAAGCTTTTCACCCGCATGTGGCCGAGGGTGTGATAGCGACGATCCACGGAGGCGGGCAACATGGGCATGGCACTGGGCACTACGAGTATTTCATCTTGGTCGATGGTGGCCAGACTTTGGCTTGTATAGGAGCGTTCCAAGATTTCGGCGCTGCTGCTGCGTTGCGGCTGCGGTTGCACCACAGGCAGCTCGTAGAGATTGAGCCGCGGCTGCGGTGGTCGTGTGGGTGAGGAGCCGCACATCTTTGGCTTGGCATAGAGACTCTCGCGACGCACCGGCGCCGGTGGTGGCAAGCTGGGCGACAGTGGCACTCTGCCGGCATAGGTGGGACTCTCACTCTCGCTGCGCTGATAGCTGGAGTTCAGCCCCAAGAGCGTGAGTGGACGACGACCCTCTCGGCCCTCGCCCAGCGACTGTGCGCGCTGATATTGCGCGCAGCTGCCCGTGGAGCTGACGGAGCTGTGCCGCACCGGGGTGCGTCGGGTCTTGGCCGGCGACTGTTCCTGCATATCAAAAGAGAGCGCTGGCTTGGGCACCGGTGAGTAGCAGCCGCGCTCCGAGCTGTCGTAGGAGCTGCGCAGACCGCTGTCCAAGCGCCGTTTAGGGCTGTCCGGAGCGGTATACAGAAAGATGGGCTCCTCTTCGCCGGCCGTATTATAGTCGGGCGTTTTGGGCGTCGCACTGCTCTGCAGGGAGTCCAGCGAGAAGCGTGAGTTCTTCTTCACGCTCTGATAGTCGCAGGGCATGCTGCCGCCTCCGGAGGAGCTGGAGGCATCCGACAGCGGGCGGAAGTTGGCCGCAGTGCTGGCATAGATGGGCTCCAGCTCCAGACCTATGGTGGGGGTGCGCACGGGCTTGGCTCGAGCATAGATCTCCTCATTCCCACTGTGACCGCTCACTCGCCGTTGTCTGTGCTTGCCATTGCCAGACAACGACCCGGATCCCGAACCCGTCGAGCTTTGGCTGTAGTTGCTCATAAGGGAGAGCGTTCGTTTGCGCTCCGCATGTGGCGGGCGCAGCAGCTCGTGGGGCTGAGCGGATGCCGCTGCTTCGGTGGCTTCGGCGGCGCGTATGGAACGGGAGCGCGTGAGTCCTCGAGCTCGTATCGTGGCATAGCCATCGTAGATGGGCGTTGTGGGCGCCACTGGCGGACGACTGCTGGTGCTCGCAGACATTTGTTGTTCGCGCACTTAGGTTCAAGAACTGGTGTTTTTTTTTTCTTTCACTCACTTTTGGAGAGGCTTCATTTTTCAAAAAGTTTTCATGATGCCTTCTTTCATGCTCTTTCTCTTTGTTATTGGTATTATTATAGTTTACTTTAAACGTTGATTAATTGTTGCTGCATTGGAGTTGTGGAGGGAATTATATCATTTATAAATGAACGACGGGTGGTCGAGGGTCCAGTTACTTGGCTCATTTCTTTGATTATGCTTTACGAACTAAATCTGCATCAATCATTTTTAATTGAAGCTAAATTAAAGTTGTGGTGCCGTTTGCGTTCAAAGACCTCCTCCGGTCGATGTCTGTCTGTCTGTCTGTCCGCATTTTAAAGTCAGTTACGCAGTCTGTCAGTCTCACTCAGTCTTTCAAATAAAATCGACTCATTAACGCATAATTAGCGCTCATTTCACATGAATCCATATCTGTGTCTATGACTATGATTTGGTTTGTTTGGCCGTAGGCTTTGATTGACGGTGTCAGCGGCCGTAAATGAAACCTCGATGTAGCATTACAATGGCGCACTCTAATGGATTAGCTTGCGTATTTCTCATTGTTGCTTTATTTCAATGTCAAGTCGAGCACGTGTGATGTACGAGTATACGGGTAGGTGAAGTGTACGACCTGCCGAATTTAACACTCTTTAGAGACTCTGACATTGCTGGCTCCTCAAATTGTCAACAGTAGGGGGGCTGTTTGAGAGCTCGAATCTTAAAACTAAATCTATAAGTTAAAAAAACTCGATTGAAGAATCCCTTTAAGGGCTGTAGAGCCAAACTTTGGAACAGAAGAACTATAGATCTTTAAATGGATAGCGGAAAGGCATAACGGATGCATAAGTTTCAAAAATGTACATTCAGAGTAATATTTACAAAAAAATTTCTTATTATTTTTAAAGAAATAAATTAGTAACTAAGCTGCGCTATTTTTGTAAACGTATTCAAAAGATTGCATTGACAAATTTAATATTTTATGCCAAATATATTTCCAATGGAATGCTTTATAAAAACCGTAATTTCTAGTCTAAACACGAATATTTATCAAGCACCTCACGTAAATGCAGCGTTTATTGTAGACTGTGCGTGTTTGAGACCCCGTTTTGTAGACCGTGAAGAAAACAATAAGTCGTGTGTCTGTCAGCTGATTATAAGTTTGTATATATATCGTATATATTCCTATTCGACAGAGAACTAACATAACAAACAACGAAAAACAGATGTAAGCTTTTAAAGAAACCCAGACAAGTTTAGTCAAAATATGTTGTTAAGTGACGCCATTAGGTGATAGTTGAACTCAAGTTAAACACGATTTACTTTTAAAATATAAATAATCGGTGGGAAGTGGAACATTTTAGAAGGCCCAAAGAACCTACGTTATGAGCAAAATTTAGAAATAACAGAATATATCTATTGTTATCGCATTTCTAGTTGATATTTATTTCTTAGATAAGCTATGAAAAAATAAATAGAAATTTGTCTAAGACATCAGTACTAGTACCAGTACCAGTACAGACAACAACTATTTGAATAAATTTTGAAACCATGATATCACGCAGGCATCAAAGCATAGAATTGAATAACAAAAAAAGTATTGAATAACCTTTGGCAGTCATGATATAAAATCCTACTTCTAAACTAAAGATAGATCCAAACATTGGCGGATCGGAATAAATAAAAATTTTTAGCAATCATGATATGAAACCGTGCTTTCAAATTAGTGGATTAACTCCTCAATATGGCAAGCGATTCTGTTCAATATCTTTTGCAAAGAAACCACATTTCTTTTTAAAAAATTACTTCATGCCCATAAATTTAAAAAAATATTGGAAATAGGTAATTTGTTTAATAATAAAATATTTGTCTTCTTTAGAATGTAATTTTTTAAATTAAAAATTAAAAGTTTGTTATTATTATAACGAAAAATATGCCTATTTAATGAAGCATGAAAATAATTGATTGCTTTACGGATTTGAAAACAAAAGTCTTCCAATCAAATCTCTCATATTGTTGAAGAATTGCAAAATTGTATTCTATAAATACTTTTGGATATATAGTATCGTGAACAATTGATGGCAATGGCTGCCGATAGAACAGAGAAGCGATCACGCTTTTTTCAACATGAGTGGCAAATTTTGATAACATCGTAAATGAGGTAGCAAGTCATATGCAAAACGTGTTCACATTTGCATGACTAATTACAGTTGTGGAAGCACTGGAGCAGCAATTAAAATGCGCTGGCTATGTAGAGTGAGGAGCATCTACTATGCACTAAACACTGTAGAGTTCGCCATGAATTGCAATCAAAACAATTACGATCAATTCACGCAATAGTCGTGACAAGCGTTAAAACAACAACAACAACATCAACAACAACAACTGAAACTATGACCACATGTAGCAGCAATCCGATGTCTAAAGTATACCTATTAACAAAGTGTACTCCCCAACCCACCCAGTTGAACACTTCGTCGCAGCAGAAGCAAATAAAAGCCGCAACGCACGTTGATGATGACATTAGAAAATTGTTATTTATTGCATTTCCTAGTCTCTGTTGTTGTTGTTGTTGTTGTTGTAGAACAACATGAGTCAAGCGGTGTTGTTGCAAAATAGAGTCAGCACGTCATTTAACAGTCCCAAGTCGTCGTCTTTGCCAAGTCAGCAGCCAGAAACTTTTTCATTTGGCTCCTCCAATGACTACGAAACGAAGCTCGGACCCCAAGAACGAGGCAAGTGTCAACGACTGTGCAACCACAATTGACAGCAGATGAAGTGCTGCTTTACTGCTCTACTCGTATATATAGACATACACACATACTATATATATACATACGTGCATGTGCTTATGTAGATATGTTTTGAGTGTTTGGTGTGGCAGTCGAGTGTCAAAAAGCTGATAAAAAGTAAAACTCATAAAGTTGGCAAGCTGAAATAAAACTGAAGCGAGCAACTGAAGAAGTTCTCTTTCCTGCTTCGACATCGGCAGTGTTTTGAGTTTTAGCATTCAAACCTTCAAGTGTGAAATATCACACAGGTGACTGAACAAGGGATCAAATCTTCAATTCCAGACAGCTATACCTACTAGTACTGCACTAAGAGGTGAAAAATCTGAAGGCTTTTGAAAAAAACACATCATATATATAGCTTTTAGAGATTTGTTAACGATTTACAGCACGTTCACATCTTCATTTCAAGCCATTAATAAATACTGCTAAAATAAGTTCTTAGATAAACATTTTATGAATTTATAGTCTTTTAAATGTTTTAAGCAAAAGGAAAACCAATATTTTTAGGTGCATGCCTATTCCTTTCCAACCACATTTCCAATTTCCCATCTCCTTCAGCTCAAATCCTAGGAAACATATAGATCGTTTCCCAAGAATATCAAATGAAATTGTGCTGAATGCCCCAACATGGCTAGAAACAACCATGTTACCATGTTAGTGGTAGCAACCTAATGCTAACATTATATAATTTTACTTAATGTATGCCTTTTTCGAGTCTACAAGTAAACAGCACAAGGGGAAACCATCAGGATCGACAATCAAATTCAGCTTCTTTCTAAGCTTCCATTTCAATGGTTGGCTGTTCAAATAAGTCAGAATCGCGCTGCAGCTTGCGCCATCGAGCTATCAATCAATATTAATTGCAAGTGTCAAAGCCACAATGTCACCAAATAATCGCAATTCCATAAAGCTCTGACTCACAAAATGGCAGTTTGGCAGCCATTGTGCGTATTTTTTGCTACACTATGCGCCACAAAAGTTGAAAGCAGCAAAATTTATGGCTTATTGCGAATTAAAGAAAAGAAAAAAACAACTAAACATAGCCAAGTAGTGTGCTAGCATGAATGCCTTGCCGCAGTGTGTTGCATGAGTCAGCTAAGCTGCCACACGCACGTAGCGACAGCAGCAGCCGCCGCAGTTCATTTCATTTCAGTACGGTTCGTGCAACAAACCCTGGGGGCTATATACACCGCAGTTTTGGCTGCATTGTGCAAATACGTGCAATAGTTTCGATGGCAGTCTAACAGCTCTAGAAGGAATTGGCAGATAAGAGGCATTGTTGGTACGAGCATTGCTTCTCGCAGGGCATTATGAATAGTTTATTATTGATGCTGGTCCTGAAACGGCTCTGAATAGTTATTGGAATGGTTCTGAATACTTGTTGAAGACAGAAATACGTTGGCAATTCTACAACATGAAGCAGAATTCGTAGCGATTAATATTTTAATATGGATTCTACACAAAATTTCAAATCACTTAAGCAGAACAGAATGCATTGCAGGCTTTGGAAAAATAAACAAAGGAAAAGCAAGGTAAGACTCCAATGGTGGAGCCAAGTGCGTTGGCAGGAGGGCAAAAAATTAAAATTTTTATTGAATAATGCACAATGCATTTAAATAAATGTAAATAGCTTATGCATATGATCAATGAAAAAACTTCAATTCAATTCAGACTCTTCTTCTAAATATAATAATTCTAGCTCTCTCTCAGACATATAAAAAGTTCCACTTGAAAAGTCGAACCCATTTATAAATCACTGACTGATTTAAAGAACTCTTAAAGTGTTAAATGCAATAAAAAGATATGGATTTGAAAAACTGTCTTGCTTCGCTGCCCACAAAGCAAATTAGACGGCCTGTCAATAATTGTGCACCCACAGGCCGTTTCAAGGCAAATAAACGTAATTTCGCAGTCTGCCCCACAAATCCGAGTTCAATAAGCCAAAAGAGTTGGAAATAAATATATTTGAAAGCGACATTTTGTGCACCTCTGTAGGTCTGTAGGTGGGTGTCCATTATTGTTTTGTATTTTTATTGTTTATTAAAGTATTATTTTTGTATTGATTGCTTATTGAAATTTATGCGCGTCAACTGCATGCCATTTGGTGGGTTTATTTGTATTTCTTTGATTGCAATTTCAATTTTCCATTGTTATGCAAAGCTTGAACTTTTGTTG